TAAAGAACTTATCAAGCTCAACACCCAAAGAACAAAGAATCCAATCAAGAAATGGGCAGAAGACATGAACAGACATTTCTGCAAAGAAAACATCCAAATGGTCAAAAGACATGAAAAAGTGCTCAACATCACTCGGCATCAGGGAAATCCAAATCAAAACCTCAGTGAGATACCACCTCACACCAGTCAGAATGGCTAAAATTAACAAGTCAGGAAATGACAGATGTTGGTGAGTATGCAGAGAAAGGGTAACCCTCCTACACTGTTGGTGGGAATGTAAGTTGGTGCAGCCACTCTGGAAAACAGTATGGAGGTTCCTCAAAAAGTTGAAAATAGGGGCGCCTGGGTGGCTCAGTCATTGGGCCTGAGCCTTCAGCTCAGGTCATGATCTCAGGGTCCTGGGATCGAGCCCCGCATCGGGCTCCCTGCTCGGCAGGAGGCCTGCTTCTCCCTCTCCACTCCCCTTGCTTGTGTTCCCTCTCTCGCTATATCTCTCTCTGTCAAATAAATAAACATCTTTAAAAAAAAAAGTTGAAAATAGAGCTACCCTCCAACCCAGCAATTGCACTACTGGGTATTTACCCTAAAGATACAAATGTAGTGATCCGAAGGGGTACGTGCACCCCAGTGTTTATAGCAGCAATGTCCACAATAGCTAAACTATGGAAAGAGCCTAGATGTCTATCAACAGATGAATGCATAAAGAAGATGTGGTATATATATACAATGGAATACTATGCAGCCATCAAAAAAATGAAATCTTGCCATTTGCAATGACTTGGATGGAACTAGAGGGTATTAGGCTAAGGGAAATAAGGCAATCAGAGAAAGACAAGTATCATATGATCTCACTGATATAAGGAATTCAAGAAACAAGAGAGAGGGTCATAGGGGAAGCGAGGGGAAAATGAAACAAGATGAAACCAGAGAGGGACACAAACCATAAGAGACTTTTAATCTCAGGAAATCAACTGAGGGTTGTTGAAGTGGAGGGGGGTGGGAGGGATGGGGTGGCTGTGTGATGGACATTGGGGAGGGTATGTACTATGGTGAGCGCTGTGAATTGTGTAATACTGATGAATCACAGACCTGTACCCCTGAAATAAATAATACATTATATGTTAATAAATAAAAAATAAAAGTGAATGTTGCTAATAAAAAAAAAGATAAAAAGCTTCTGCATAGCAGAGGAAACAATCAACAGAACTAAAAGCAACTTACTGCATGGGAGAAAACATTTGCAAATGACATCTCTGATAAAGTGTTAGTATCTAAAATCCATAACAAACTTATCAAACTCAACACCCAAAAAGCAAATAATCCAGTCACGAAATGAGAAGACATGAATAGATATTTTTCCAAAAAAGACATATAGATAGCTAATAGACACATGAAAAGATGTTCAGTATCACTCATCATCAGTGAAACACAAATCAAAACTAGAGATATCACCTTATATCTGTCAGAATTGCTAAAATTAACAATACAGGAAACAACAGATGTTCGCAAGAATGCGGAGAAAGGAAATACTTTTACACTGTTAGCGGTAATGGAAATTGGTGCAGCCACTCTGGAAAACAGTATGCAGGTGCCTCAGAAAGTTAAAAATAGAGCTACCCTACAACCCAGCAATTGCACTACCAGGTATTTACCCAAAGGATACAAAAATAGTGATTTGAAGGGGCACATGCACCCCAATGTTTATAACAGCATTATCAACAACAGCCAAATAATTGAAAGAGCCCAAATGTCCATCAATTGATGAATGACAAAGAAGTTGTGGTACAAGGGGGGGAAATCGGAGGGGGAGACAAACCATGAGAGACTATGGACTCTGAGAAACAAACTGAGGGTTCTAGAGGGGAGGGGGTGGGAGGATGGGTTAGCCTGGTGATGGGTATTAAAGAGGGCATGCAAGGGGCACCTGGGTGGCTCAGTTGGTTAGGCAACTGCCTTCGGCTCAGGTCATGATCCCGGAGTCCCGGGATCGAGTCCCGCATCGGGCTCCCTGCTCAGCAGGGAGTCTGCTTCTCCCTCTGACCCTCCTCCCTCTCATGCTCTCTGTCTCTCATTCTCTCTCTCGCAAATAAATAAAATCTTAAAAAAAAAAAAAAATTTAAAGAGGGCACGCACTTCATGGAGCACTGGGTGTTATATGCAAACAATGAATCGTAGAACACTACATCAAAAACTAATGATGTAATGTATGGTGATTAACATAACATAATAAAAAAAAACAGTTATGTTTGATGTTAACTATACTAGAATTAAAATTAAAAAAAAGTTGTGGTACATATATATACACAATGGAATTATTACTCAACCATAAAAGAGAATGAAATCTTGCCATTTGCCATGACGTGGATGGAGCTAGAGATTATTATATTAAGCGAAATAAGTCAGAGAAAGAAAAATACCACATGATTTCACTCACATGTGGAATTTAAGAAACAGAACAGATGAACATGTGGTTGGGGGGTGGGGGCAGGAAGAGAGAGAGGCAAAGCAGAAAATTGACTCACCTATAGAGAACAAACAGGTTTGTTAGAGGGGAGGTGGGCTGAGGAATGGAGTAAATAGGTGATGGGTACTTAGGAGGGCACTTGTGACGAGCACTGGGTGTTGTATGTAAGTGCTGAATCACTAAATTCTACACCTGAAACTAACACTATACTGTTTGTTAACTAATCAGAATTTAAATTAAAACTTGAAAAAAGTTAAAAAAAATAAAAATAAGGAATGGACAAAGGAGTGAATAGACTTTAAAAAAAAATTTTGAGTATAGTTTGACAAACAATGTTACATTAGCTTTAGGTGTGTAACATAGTGATTCAACACCTCTATACACTGTACTCACAAGTGCAGCTTCCTCTGTCACCGTACAATGCTATTACAAGATCACTGACTATGTTCCCTCTGTTGGATCTTTTATTCCTGTGACTTATTCTAATGAAAACATACTGATGGCCAAGAAAAGGTACTGTTGGATCTTTTATTCCTGTGACTTATTCTAATGAAAACATACTGATGGCCAAGAAAAGGTACTCAACATCATTATTCATCAGGAAATGCAAATCAAAACCATAATGAGATATCACCTCATATGGGTTAGAATGGCTATTGCCCAAAAGACAAGAAATAACAAGTGTTGGTGAGGATGTGAAAAAAAGGAGACCCTTATGTACTATTGGTGGAAAGGTAAATTAGTGCAGACAGTGTGGAAAAGAATATGGAAATTTAGGAAAAGTTTAAAAATAAAACTCCCATATGATCCAACAATTCTACTGTTGGGTATCTGTCCAATGAAAATGAAAATACTGCCTCAAAAAGATATATGTACTCCATGCTCATTACAATATACAATACCCAAGATATGGAAGCAATATAAGTGTCCATCACTGGATGAAACACAAAGAAATAGTGGTATGCTTATACAATGGAATAGTATTCTGCCATAAAAAAGAAGAAAATCTTGCTACTTGCAACAACATGAAGAGATCTTGAGAGCAGTATGCTAAGTGAAATAGGTCAGACAGAGAAAGACAAATTATTGTATGATTTCACTTATCTGTGTAATCTAAACAAAACAAAACCCTGATCTCATAGATACAGAGAAAAGACTGGTAATTGCCAGAGGTGGGGGTGGAGGTGGGAGTGGGGTAATGAGGAGGTACTATTCAAAAGATATAAAGGTTCAGCTATGCAAGAAGAATCAGGTCTACTTCTGTACAACACAGTGCCTATAATTCATAAAACTGTATTATACTCCTAAAAACTATGTGTGAAGAGAGTAGATCTCATATTAAGTGTTCTAACCACAATAAACAAAAAAGACATTACCATCTTCATTTCTTTTAACATCTTCACTTTGAAAGAGTTATTTTCAGTTTCAATAGAACTAAAATTCCACCCAAATAAACTGTACGGTTGGTATTTCCATTCCCTTGACTTTTTAACTTTATAAAGTCTCAGATGGATAGGAATATATGTGTGTTATTTCCAAAGAAACTTTGAGCCTTTCCCTGTGATGACTTATAATTAATCTTTCATACATTTTAAACTTCATAGAGTTTTACAATTATATCACTGATGCAGTAAATTGCTTAAAGAAACAAGTATTCCATGATGCTAAATGAGATAAGTCAAAGAAAGACAAATACTTGTAATGATATCATTTATATGTAGAATCTAGAAAAGCCAAACTCATAAAAGCCCTTGGGGCTGGAGGCTGGAAGGAATTGGGGAGATGTTGTTTAAGGATAAAAACTTGCAATGAGTAGATAAATAAGTCCCAGAGATCAAATGCACAGCATAGTTACCATAGACAACAATTCTGTATTATATACTTCAAATTTGCTAAGAGACTAGATTTTAATTATTCCCACCACAAAAAAGAAATGATAATTATGTGACATAATAGAGGTGTTGGCTGATGCTACCATAGTAATAATATTGCAATATATAAATGTATCAAAGCAACTTGTTATATATACTTTAAACTTATACAATGTAATATGTCAATTATATCTCAATAAAAATGATTTAAAAAGAAGCCAGCAGGCATCTAACTTAGATAAACCAGTGGTTTTAAAAAAAGACAGTGAAAAATCTACTACTGTATAACAATGTATAAGAAAAAGAACATATTTAATATAGCATGTTTTGAATTTATGGTTTTTATTTTCAAATAAGGCTACCCCCAGTTTGAGAGCATAATTATAAGCACAAACAGTGTCAAGAGACTGAAAAAATAATTCAAATACATAATTTAAGTTGTAGGACTGTTGGCAGAATCGGAAATATCAAACACACAAACTCCCTGAATCACAAGGATACATAAGTTTTATGAAAAGAAAAAATTAACAGGATTAGTCTTTCTTCAAAAGCCCTAGAGTGTGGTAATTCTGAGAAGCAGTTAAAATTACAATAAAAAATGACAAAAAAATTGTATCCCATGATATTAATATAATTATATTATAAAAGTTAAATTATCTTCTCACCTGTTCTGGGTTCGCTATGAAGTTTATGGCAGTATGATGGCGATCATCTTCCTGTAATAAGCTGAAGGTAAACTGATAGTCAATCAAAAGGCTGTCTGTGGGGAGGGAAAAAAATACAATCCTGATATGTACTTTCACAAACTGATAAACAAAAGTTAGGTGAAAACATATTGTATATGAGTATTAAAAATAATTATAATTAATTATTAGTGGCCCATTTAAGACTGGCAAAATATATATCTTTCTCATCAAGCAACAAAAAGCAAAATACAGATATGGAAGAAGTCCTAATTCTTTAAAAATTGTACTTATTACTTCTGTTGTCATTACAAAAGTTCTACAAACAGAATAGATATTCTGGAAACTACACAAAAGTAAAAAGAAACTAAAAAGTCATCCATAACCTCACAACTAGAGAAAAATACAGGCAACATTTTGGTGCATTTGATTCCAGCTAAAATTCTGTAGATAGAAAAATAGACAGGCAGACATTTTGGTACCCTACTTTCAAAAAACCAAAATTCCTTGAAAACCTGAACTTTAATAAATATATAAATGTTTCATCACATACTATAATGCATTTCTTTGTTCCTTTATTATTGTGGTAATTTTTACCTTTAGCAATTTTAAAATGACTCTGTGATAAACATCATTCTACAGAAGTAATTCACTAACAACTGACAAAAAGAAATCAGGGTAAATAATTTTTAATTTTGTTCATGTATAATGTTGAAACCAAGGTGAAACATTTGAGTGTTATATATCATGAGTAGCTTCATATGGTATACAAGAGTGAAGAATTACTCATTAATGTTAAACTGCCACCTTTACAAAAACATTTCAAATTATTTTAAATAGAGATGACTTCTGTTTTTCGGGTACATACCTTTCATGTTATGCCCTCAGCCATTAAACACTATTAAAATAAAAAGTAAAGATAGGAATAATAGCACTGAAATTATTGTTAAAATTATCAAGGCATCATTCTTTATGTTGCTTACTACATATACTTTATAAGATCCACCTTCTATATTTCTCATATAATTTAGTGTAAGACAACATTTCATCTTTCTCAGAATTTATATGAGATAATGAGAATTATGCAATTGGTCATATTTCCGATTTTCATCTGACTACCAGAAACTGCAGAGGTTAAATCAATAGGCCAGTATGTTTTAGGCATTGGAGACACAACAATAAATAATAAAAATTTCTCTCCTCATGCATTATATCCTACTGGATGGACATTAGAAATAAATAAATAACTTAAGTATATGGAATAACAGATGACAATAAGTGTTTTGGAGAATAATAAACCAGTGAAAAGGAGGGAAACTGCTGTCAGGGTAGGAGTGTGGTTGAAATTTTGAGACAGAACATTTAAAGATGAAAGATAGTAGGAATATAAGCCATGGAGTTTACTGAAGAAAATGTAATCCAGGCAGAAGAAACAAATATAAAACTCTCAAAAAAAGAGTAAGTCTTAACTATGAATCGTGTAAAAAACGATGTTGCAAGAAATAGGCCCAGGTGATGGTGGCGAGGGTACTAACAGTGGAGGTTACGAGAAGAGGTCAGATACTTGGAATATACTTGGTAGATTCAACACACAGGATTAGCTGAATAACTGGATGTAACATTGGAAAGAAAGAAAGGTTAAGCTTTTTTGACCCAAGACCACACAAAATGTCAGCATTAACTGAGATGAGTAAGAAGACTAGGTTTTATTTTGGGGGAATCGGAGGAAACATTAGGAGCCTAGTTTTGAAGAAGCAAAGATTGAGTCACTTATTGAATTTCCAAGTGATACGTTGAATGGAGCTTAAGAGCTTCTTTAGTAGATAACAATTTGCAAATCATCAACATTTTAGATGAGATTTGAAACCCTGAAGCCAGGAAATCACCAACTATAAACAGAGAAGAGGTGCAAGGGATAAGCCCTGAGGCATACCAATGTAAATAATCAGATCCTCAGGAGATGGAGATAGCAACCTATGAGATAGGAATAAAACCAGAATTTAGTGTCATGGGAGTTGGGTAAATATGTTGTTTAAAAAAGAGAGTAGTGATCACCGTGGTCAGTTCCAGCTGGCAGGGGTTCAGAGGTAAGACTGCAAAACAGAGGAAAGGTTGTACCTATTCAAAATTAAGGAAAAATATGACTGAGGAAATGTAAGCACTTCAAAACTAGTTTCAAGAATCTGTCTGCATAATTCTATTTACTTTTTCCTAGCATGAAACGAAGTATTAAGAAGTCAGGAGGTTGGGGCGCCTGGGTGGCTCAGTCGTTAAGCGTCTGCCTTCGGCTCAGGTCATGATCCCAGGGTCCTGGGATCGAGCCCCACATCGGGCTCCCTGCTCCGCGGGAGGCCTGCTTCTCCCTCTCCCACTCCCCCTGCTTGTGTTCCCTCTCTCGCTGTGTCTCTCTCTGTCAAATAAATAAATAAAATCTTTAAAAAAAAAAAAAGAAGTCAGGAGGTAAGGACTGGTAACAAGTCCAGGAGGTAAGGACTGGTAACAAGCTGTGACACCTCACAGCTATGAGCAGAGGCCGCAGTGCCCCAAGCCTGCAGACATTCTTCTGCCTTTACGGACTCTAGGCCTGTGCCACGATCATGTCCCATCAAATTCTTGGCTGGTTATTCAACTTTGATTTTACTATTCTTTTTATTTATTAGATTTGGAAGTACAAGATCAGCACAACGTATCATTATATATGCTAATGACCAATCCTAATGTCACTTGGGCTAAAAAAATAAGTCTGAATCCTGTGGAACAGAATTACTAGGAGTATTACTCAATTCAAGTGACTAATAAGAGTACCTGTCAGTGAATGTTAATTACTAAAAACTGAAGAAAGTTTGTGGTCCTAACAAAATGATTTCTTTTAAAGCTGCTTAGAATCAAAGTCCTCCAGAAGCCAACTGTGCAATTTTCCACTTAACCTGGATATGATCTATTTCTCCCCACACCAGTTTCAAACATCATGTTGGTATATTTTTAGGAGGGTCACAAATGAATAATTACCTGGCACTAAAAACATGTATCTCAATGCTGAAACTCACTCCGAACTTCTTAGGTAAATACAGTACAGGACATAAAACATTAAAATGTAAAATAAGTATCAAGTTTATGCAAATATATGTAATTTGAAAATAAGATTTGTACTATTTTAATGAACCACTTCCTTATGGTATACAACGGAAAGTCCTGTTTGACTAGTCAATTCAGTTTATTGCATTATCCATAACTAAGGAGTAACGACAAAGTAGCAGGAGGAATAAGTGTGATCAAGAGAGGTGAGAAAACTACTTCTTTTACATTCCATTATACTTAACATACAGTGTTAGTTTCAGGTGTACAATATAGTAATTCAACAGCTCTATACATGACTCAGTGCTCATCAAGCTAAGCATACTCTTAATCCATTATACTTATTCCAACCCCCACCACCCCCCGACTGGTAACAATCAGTCTGTTGGTTCTCTATAGTTAAGAGTCTGTTTCTTGGTTTGTCTCCTTTTTTTTTTTTTTTAGTTTGTCTCTTTATTTTTCCTTTGCTCATTTGTTTTATTTCTCAAATTCCACACAAGTGAAATTATATGGTATTTGTCTTTCTTTTGCTGACTTATTTCACTTAGTATGATACTCTCCAGATCCATCCATGTTGTTGCAAATGACAAGATTTCATTCCTTTTTATGGTATATGTGCACATAATATGCCATTGTGCACATATACCACAGTTTTATCCATCCATCTATCAATGGATGGCTATTGTAAATAATGCTGCAATAAATATAGGGATGCATATATCTTTTTGAATTAGTGCTTTCATATTCTTTGGGTAAATACCCAGAAGCAGAATTACTGGATCATATGGTAGTTCAATTTTTATATTTTGAGGTACCTCCATACTGTTTTCCACATTGGCTACACTAGTTTGCAGTCACACCAACAGTGCACGTCCTTGAGTAGGTAAAAGGCAATGAGCTCGGAACTGAAGGGATGGCCCAGTGGTTCATTCCCTAGGTTTGTGAAGTTTTTGTTTGTTGGTTGTTTTGCTTCCTATGTATCCCCACCCCAGTGCTAGAGCAGCTACAATCTGGAAACAAGTTCATACCAAAAAAAAAAAAAAAAGTACTAGGAAAATCCTGCTGCTGAGACTTTATGTTGGGTGGAGCCCTGTAAACCATGTTCATCTTGCACTAAGGTGGGCAGAGTTGGAGACTGCACTGCTGCAGGAAATACAGCAAAGTGTTAAGTTTTACTAAACCTCAGTAACATACACAACTTTCAAATGATATTATATATACTACAAAAGGATATATAATATATATAAAAGTACATGCACTATACTTTTCAGCGTATTTTAAATTTTCATAATTTAAAAAGTGTAAACTGTACACTGTATGTTTAAATATATTACTGGCTAGAAACAATTATTTGAAAACTTTGTGAATAGAAAAATACCAAAGGGATATATGTCACAACTTGAAGAAACCATAAACCCTATATAAATGAATCCTCTGATTTTACAGACTGAGCCCTGAAGTTTGGAACAACTGTAAATGATACAACCAACTCTTAAATATTTTGGCTAACAATCAGCAATCTCTGATAATTCGGGGAAAATTAGAAGTTTGCAATTAATTTCACAACTGTACCTAAAAATGAAGCCTACAAATATGGGTAAAACAGATGTAAAAAATAGTCACTCTTCTTTACAGTTCTTTCACTTTTTGTATGAACATGGTAGAACTTAATCTGAATATGAAACTGTTCATAATTCTGGCTGCAAATTCTAATTGTATAGATTGTTTTTAAAAGCATTAAGACCCCCAGTGTCACAGAGCACTGTGAATTGTGTAAGACGGTTGAATCACAGACCTGTACCTCTGAAACAAATAATACATTATATGTTTAAAAAAGAGAAGAAGAAGATAGTGGGAAGGGAAAAATGAAGGGGGGGAAATCGGACAGGGAGATGAACCATGAGAGACTGTGGACTCTGAGAAACATACTGAGGGTTCTAGAGGGGAGGGGGGTGGGGGGGATGCATTAGCCTGGTGATGGGTATTAAGGAGGGCATGTATT